GGCCTGAAGTTCTAGAAAATTTCAATTGAAGAATCAAGATTGACCAGAAGCACTTCAATATTGGGATTCTCATTTGTGCATAGATATACTGCCTTTGAAAACTAGTTCCTAAATTGTGAGAAGGTAGATATTTGGATTTGTCTTGATTTTTCATGATGAAGACAACTATATACACCTATCAAATGGTGACTCAAATGGAATAATCATTTCAGACTTCCTGTCAGATCTGGGACCCTTGCAGTTTTTGATTTAGACCCAAAAAGTCTAGATTTTTGCAGGGAAATCTAGCTTTTGCGGCTCTAAATCAAACCTGGGAGACCTGCAGATGTCAACAGGAAGTCAAGGACTTCCCGTTGGATCTGGGACCCTTGAAGTTTTTGATTTAGACCCAAAAAGTCTTGATTTTTGCAGGGAAATCTAGCTTTTTTGGCTCTAAATCAAAACTGGGAGACCCGCCAATGTCAACGGGAAGTGGAGGACTTCCCATCTCCATTTAGAGTACTTTTTAAGCCCTCCCCAGTCCTAAATTAACACCTCAATCATAATTCCAACCAGCTCACATGAGAGCTACACCCCGGGTGCAGTCCGCTGTCCGGGTGACGGTACTTTTGGTCCGTCGTGAGACGGGACCTCCCGGCAAGACATGACGCCCCATACACGGGCCCCGTACAAGGTCTAAATGACGGTTACTATGTGACCGTCTTGGAAATTGCGCATAGTGTCTGTCGAGAACGTTCGTCTAGGGACGGATGTAGCACCCGTCCCCCAACCAGTACCACACTGGGATGGTAATGTGGATCGCCCAGCAGCCCGTCCTCTACCGGAGAAGCAGACTCAGATTGACTTGCTCACGCCCGTAAAATTCACACCGAGTGACCGTCTCATCTTTGTGCAAAGCATTATGAGCTGAGGAGACAGCCCGTGACCGGTAACCAGCCAGCGAGTGGTCGCCTGGGGCTCAACAAGTTGTTAAATTGGTGCCGCCAACTGCATGCGCACCGGGCTCTCACAGTAAGAATATGGGCAGGATTCAAAGAAAGTGCTCGGTTGTGATTGGCCTTCCAATAAATCAAAGTAAAAGAGCAATCTATGTACAAGATAAGATTGAAGAAAAGAGCAAAATGAGGTATGCCCGCAGGGCAACCTTGGCCAAGCAAATCAAACCTGGTGCATCAGGACCACCGAGCTGTTGAACAAACTCGCATTGAGGTCTCCCTCCGTAGTCTCAAATGTGACAATAGCTGGGTGCCAGCGGCGTGTTACGCTGTGTCTGGTCGTCTAAAATGGCAAGGGGCCTATATAGTACAATCGTAAGCTTAGCATCAAAAAGGTTAAGCCGCAATGAATATTGTGGAAGTCAGACTTACTAGGTCAAGTATCACTGCTATCGCTAGGCAGTTGACCTCCCCCCATAGCGTTGCATTGGGTGCAGTGTAGGGTTGAGTTTGATGTTTGAGACACTGGAGGTGTTTGACTGATAGTCCGGGTGGGTTGCACAGGGGGGTGGTCAATATCTTTGCAGTGAAACTGGGAATGGGTTGGAGTTGGATTTGACAGGGGGAGAGTGGTGGATTAAGAATGGTGAATGAGAGAATGATGGATAGAAGAACAGCGAATGGAAAGACGGTCTTTTCCTAAGAAATCAGAAACTGGGATTTGTTTAAAGTGTAAAATTGGAATCGGAAGAGTTGGATATTTTGAAGAAGGGAAAGAAGTGGTGGCGAGAAGGATGAAGGGGTTGTGGGGAACAGAGAAACTCATCTCACTTGAGTATGTACTGCGCAAAGATCACCGTCTGATTTGGCAAGACAACTTGCCCACCGCCTCAGAGCCGTAAATCAGAGAGCTCACTTTGCCTCTCACAAATGATTTCTGACGGTCCTGGGCAGTGGAAATGATGTCTAACAGATGGGCCTGATTGTTTGGGTCGGCTGTCGGCGGTCAGGATTTCCAGCCATTGTGGATGTGTCCCTTGGCGGTGTCCTAGCCGGCATAGAGACGGGATGTGGTGAGCAACGGGCAGAGTGTGTCAGCCTTAGAGCCAGCCAAGCTGGCCAAAAGACTGCTTAAGTCCTCCTTTTTTCATTCAAGTCCTTACTGTAACTTTTTCATCTTAATCTTTTATTGCATTCTGACTTCAGAAATGAATTCCTCTGTTAATTTTAACCTTAGTCTCCCCTACACACTTTTACACTACTCCTCTCCTTCACAGACTTTGTAATATTTCACCGTACCATTGTGAAATATCTACCAAGTTGGAATTCCAACTCTCTACCACATGTACATGTTGCGATTATGTAATCCAACTCTGAAAATTCTCTCAGTAGACACTGAGTTCGCATTTTCAGGATCTTCAAGCTTCAGACCCACCCAGAACCAACTCAGACCAGAAACCCAGCACACCTCAACTTGGATTCACCGCCGTATCATCGCCGTGTTATCGTTTGGAGTCCTTTACTCTTTGGAATCTTCCCACTCTCAGTGTCAGGATCACCAAATAGTAAGTCATTCCTTCAAGTTCAGCTTGCATCTTTCTGCTAAGTTCCTTCTCTGTCTCTCTGAATGATCACATCATTCCTTTTCTACTAAACCTCTGCCTCAAACATCATCTTATCAAATCAAGTCATCTTAATTCTCTGTTTGGTGGTATAACTAAAAACCACATAGGTTTCCCTTTAAAGACCCTTGATCTTAGATCTAAAAAATAGTGGCCGGATTGATTTATCAATACCAGGAACCCTTCTCAGTTTCAGTTGAGTTAGGAGGCGTAGATTTATTCCGCTATAGAACAGCCATCCTTCCACAGGAAAGTAAGACTGCAGTAAACCTTGATTATAAAACAAATAAACAATAAAAAAATATTATTCATTTCTTTTTCATTTTCTTTCTCTCTCTTCTCCCTTTCTCTTATTCTAGTTGTATTTCTCTATCTCCTTGAAATACATCTAGAATTGCCCCCCCATCCTTGTGTCCTGCTGTCACTTTTGAGACCCAGGCTCACAGAGTGTGTGATCCTGGGAGCAACCTGTGTTAGGTGCAGTCTCAAGCTGTGTGTGACCCGTTCACCCATTTGTGAGATGGGGATCAACCGTCACAGCTTAAGGATTGACGGCAACCGCTCAGCCAGGGTCAATTTACGTCGAACTTGGATTTTTCTGCACCCGCGGTGTATCTTCCCAAGGCTTGTGAAAAAATAATTTTTTTATATCAAAAATTCATATCTAGGGGGTGTAAATCAAATTCTGGGAGGGTTGTAAACCATGACAGGAAGTCATCCAGTCATCCAATGCATTCATATCCAAAGTCTAAAATCAAAATCTTAACCAGCTAAATGCAAGCCACACAAGTTCATTGATACAAGAGCAAGCTAGAGCAAGTCCTACATGTAGATATTCAAAATTCCTGGCTGCCTGTATCAACAGGATTAATCCTTATCGAGATTGGCACTCTTACTCTGCCTCAGACTCGTACAAATCACTACTCGGGTATTGAGAGATATTAAGCATGTAGGAGTAACCATCTCAATAGCACCTTTGAAGAACTGAAGTTGTACTTGCTCCATGCAACCATTAGCTTCAATGAAAATCAGAAGTTTGTAGTCTGTTGTCTTGATGGCTTGATGAGTGGTAGTCGGCCGGGAAATTTACATACGACGTTGTAGGAAGCAATCGCGCAATTTATACCTATACGGGCACCGGATTTTATTGAATCGGTCCCTACAAACAGTCACACTACCTTAGCATGCATGAAGCGCGTATTTGTCGAGCAGCTTGCGGCTGAACTTGCGTAATTTGCACATTTTTGTACATGACGTACCCGGTGCGGAGATCATTCAATGTCGTTCCCATTCAAGACTCAGGAGTCATGAGTCTTGTGACTCTTGAAGTCTTGCCATCTTGGCCGTGACTCTCAGCGGAGAGCTCTTGATTCAAGAAAGAGTTCTCTTTCTCTGCTGGCCTTAGGTATTGATCATATAGGAAAATGGCCGATTGGACATGGGAAGGGAAGCATCCATCAGGGATCGGAGATAATGCAGAGCGATAGGCAAACGGACTCCCTCAACTGCGGACCTCGGTTCATAACTGCGTTCATTTCAATGTAATCCAAGATACATAAGAAAACAAAATCGAAGGTCCTCGACTCCTGGCCAAAAGTGAAGCTGCTTAAACCCAACCTAAACCAGAAGTCGCGCCAGACAGTGATACCCTGCTCGCATAATGGCACCTATTCACCGTGACAGACGGCCCAGGCCTGGATAATGATTGAAGTTAGACTACTTGGTTTCAGGCCGGTGAATTTGTTCAGCCGTTTGCCTAATTTGGGTGCTGATGGTGAATGAAAATGTACACTAGGAATCCCATCATTCACACTTGAAACTGACGAAATTTCGTGTCGATCTGACACGATTTCTTGCACCATCCACTAGGCATATAGTAGCGTATAATACATTGCCTCAGGACATCCATGAACTGCCACACAGAGTATTACACGTAAATGAGGAGAGATCTCCAATGGGGTCCTCATCTTCGCTTTTATTTAAACAAAATTGAACAGCGATATACACATAAACATAGAAATCACTATCCTGGCTTTAATGACTTGAAATGAAAGCTCCTTAAACTCCGGCCTGACCCCGTTTCGGCTCTTTGGCTATGTTCGAACTTTATCATCCAATCAAACCTAATAGGCAGATCACCAACTGATGATTGTATATATTATGTACCATGCATTCAATTCTGTTTCCAGGGCTGTTTCAATAAAAATGGTCAGCGGGCGACCACTGCAAGATTATTTGGCATCATACAGGCATGTTGATGTCGATAAAACAAGGCAAGAAACACAATAACAATGTGCACCGATGTGTGGTTGACCTGTGGTGACCATTGCTGTAGTCCGCGACTGAATAAGGATGAATTTACTGAACTTTCTTGGCATTGATCTGATGAGGATTTCTCAGGCTTCGGTCACAACTTGACTCTTTTTACCTCACGCGTATCTCGCGCCACTCGCGCTTAAAATGATGACGGTTCTGAGCAGCTACATAGTACGTACTCCCTGGGTGCTCATCATCACACTGGTCGAAAACAAATCCACCGCTTTTCCTTCTGTGCTCGGCCTGACCTGTCCTAGTCCCGCCTTGCTCGCGGCAAATCATTTAAACCTTGAGTCCGAGCACTGCGATATCTATCCACCCTTGCCCTACAACCACCGAATAGCCACAGAACATCTCTAGCTATACCTTACGCTTAGTTATTCTGATATCGTTAGCCTAGATTCCCCTGTTGCTTGATTGCTCGGACTACGAGACCTTCATAACCTCCATCATATAATCAAAGTTTACGACGAATTGCTTCAAAAACAGTATTTTTGTTTGACATCCAAGAGTCTCCTAGATTGGCACCCTTCACGAACCATCAGAATATCAAGACCATTGATACCAAGAAAAAGGCTCTTCGAGATGGATACCGATTGGTGCATCGTTTGCGACACTCGAATCTATCCGTGCGTCTGATGGCTCTTTCCAACTTGAACACCATCATGTCATCAGATGACTCGGACTAACAAATCTGTTTTCTTTCTCCTTCTCCGAGGCAGATCTATATCTGAGGCCAGAAAAGTTTCCAAGACCTCAAATGGAATGGCGGAAGTCGTTGGAGGTTCCACAACTCCATCCTCTTCGTCGGCATTTTGCTCAACGGGTTGCCTCATCAAAGCATACCACGAAGCGGAATTGTACAACCCTCTGGATCTGCCGCCGCAAGCGCTCAACATTCAGCTCACATTTCCACATCAGTCCTCGCATCCTCGTTCATCTCTAATACATCCAAAGCAGAAAGCCTGCAAGGATCGACCGAAATCCAGGTTGATAAACGACCATAATTCCCAAAATCTCAAAATTAACCCCAACGAAAGAAAACTGATTAGTCAATTTACTTTTGGAAGTTATGGAACCTCTTCTTTGTCGTCTTCGGATGCCCTCCGTTTTATCAACACCAAGTGCTAATGTAGTCCATTCCAGGTGTTCAATGTAGTTTACAAGCCATCCTTTTCATATAACCCAAACTTTGAGAAGTTTATGCTAATTCAAGACCAACGATGTAATATGCATGTTTCCATGACTTATGAGCCACCCGGGTGAATGCCCGGTAATGAAGCCAAAGATAAATCTACTTGCCAATGAAGGAACATTCTTGGTTCAATAATTGAAATATGATCACTGGAAGTCAAGATTCTTTGAATGAAGGCATAGCGCTGTCTTCATGAAAATTTCATCTGGTAATGGCACAGCTCAACAGAACCACTGTTAGCTGAGGTGTGGAAGTGAGATGAGCAAAGTGACCAAAGTGATAAGAGGATCCATGGACCATGTAATGATGACATGATAGGTTTTGATTTACTTCCTAAAGGAAAAGAACTGTATAGAAGTAAAGGACTGTGACACAATGGTAGCCAACCAGAAGCTATTAGGTGCTTTTTTCCTGGATCAGAGAGGAAAACTATAGAAGGCTGTTTGTGGATAAACTCAGTATTGGACTTGAGTCTCATATGTGAGACACTCAATAACTCATAGGATAAACAGCATAATGGATCAAAGATTTAAAAGCATCACTCCTGAAATGAGAAAAATTATGATCCAAAGATTCCATCTGACACCCTGTGCAGCTTCTAGAGAAATAGGGTATATGAGAGGACAGATATGTATTATTCATGTTTTATGTTGGAGTAAATGGTTTTCTGTTTTCTGTTTCTTCTTTCCTCCAGTCTTTTCTCTGCTTCCAGCCTTTCTCATCTCATGTTACAGTCTGTGACACCATTTATGTAGTCTACCTAGGACAGTCTGTGTGTTTGTGGAAGGTCTCTTTTCCTCATCCTTCAACTAACTCACTGTCTGTCCTAGGTAAGTCCAGTCTTGTTTTTCTTTCTTGTTTCTCTTTTTCCTATCTCAGTGATGCAATGAATCTATCCTTCCACTGACTCACTGTCTGTCCTAGATTCATTGCAAAATTTCATTATACTCTGATGACATCAACTGGGACAGCCTGTCAGACTTGGGATACCTACAAGAGTGGTGTGTAGTATCTAGAGTCTGTACTAGCTAAAATCAGAGAGGAAAAGTATAAATAAAGGGTCTTAGCTGATCGACTACCAAAAAGTGGAGGATCGACTCCTAAACCCCAAAGCCCCCAAAAAATCCACTGATTTCCCCGGGAAATGGGAGTCAATCCTCCAAACCTGTCAGTGGGTTTGGGAGTCAAATCCCCACAAAATTTATTAAAAAAAATACCAACCCCCAAGGGAGTTGGGGGTCAATGCCCCAAAACCCAAGGGGTTTTGGGCGTCAGCTAACACAAAAGAGCCCGGACAGCCGGGAGGAATCTCCCGGCTGCTGATGGCACACCGTCGACGGCCGAGAGAAACCCTCCCGGCCGTTGAGGATGTACACACTCTTGCCTTTGAGAGTGTACACACTCAATGACCAAGAGAGAACCTCTCAGCCAGTACACTCTCAACGGCCAACAGAGAACTGCTCGGCCATTGAGCCTGATTGACCAACACCCCAGTCAACCTAACATTAAGAGCACCCTTGTCAGTCTACTCCAGGAATCTCTTGCCCTTCCTGCCCTTCTTTTGTCCATCCATTCTGAGCCGGATAAGGATATGTTGTCAAGCTCCTCCTTACAATTCATCATCTCAACCCCTCTCGATCTCAAGCTTGTCAAGCAGGCGTTGGACGCTGGCCAGCTTGAAAATTGGAGCTCAATTGATGAACTCTTTGCAGTTTGTCGATCTTCTCCTGCTATACCTAGATTCCAGTAGGTCTGGCTACAAAGACTTCTCAGACACCAGCCTCATAGTATGATATTGCTGTTCTTAGGGGAGGGCTGATCGAGATGAGGATGGGAACAAGGAACAAAGATGTGGTTGATCATGAGTAAGACAGCTTTAAGAGCACACACAAGATGAGTGAGCAAATGATGAAGAACCGTGGGATTGATGGCTTCATGATCATTAGAGAT